CCGGGAGAAGCCCTTTGAAGCTGAGATACGAGCCCGTGCAGTTTGCTTTAATGGGAAATCTAATGCAAGCTGTCCCCGTAACATATGTCCCGTTTACGCGGTTATTTATTCGGTGGGTTGGGGGGGGGGGCTTTCTTTGCTTTGAGAGTGCGGAGCGGCGCGTTTACTCAGACCACTTAATGCTGAGCATGTTTTTTAGGGCCCAACGGTGGACTTTATCTAAGACCTGGGAGGCCTGTTGCTCACTCCCGATTTTCCCCGCAAGAAGCCGAAATGGGAATTCTTGAACTGATGTCATGGTCCCGTGTGGTCCCGAGGGGAATGTGAGCGAGGGTTAGTCACGCCGTGGCATCAGCTGACTCTTGGTTTCTCAGGAGGGAACGTTAGCTTAAGATGCTTAAGATGCTCCATGATCCAAAGCATATGGGCCGTCGGGCCCCAAACGCCTCTCAGCCGTTTTGATGTGGTCTCATCCAGCCCTCTCATCCCCTGAATTCGATCTGGAATCATGCAGATTTATGGATGAATTTCCACGCATGTTTGTGTTCTTTTTTTTTTTTTTTTTTGTATTCGTCTCACAGCTGTCAGACGGCCGAAAGAAAAACGCTAAGCGGAAAACCACCGAAAGCCAATGATAAATCATTCTCACCCTTTTTTTTTTTTTCTCCCCCTTTTTTCTCTCCTTTAAGACAATCCACCCCCCCCCAAGTCTGCCGATTTGATTTATTCTGACCAACTTGCTTTTGCCTTCTTTCCTAGGAAGTGTGTAGAGAGCTCTGGTGCCTTAGCAAAAGCAACCGCTGTGTAACTAACAGTATCCCGGCTGCAGAGGGGACTCTGTGCCAGACCGGCAGCATCGAGAAGGGGGTGAGTCTCCTGCATTTAGAAACACCACACCGTCCACTTCTCCAAGTTAGTTTCCAGCAGTTCCAGCTATTTTGCATATTTTGGGCCAGCATCGCTGATACCGATACTGTTAAACAAATTAGGTGGAAGCATCATTGAATTGCTAAATATCAGTTAATTTTCATCTCCATAAGTGTTTTTTGTAATGCTTCCTTTTTTATTATTAAACAGTTAAAACCCAGAGCAAAATTAGGATAAAGTTTCTAATCGAATAGAAAATGCTTTATTATCACATTTTTCCAGAAAAATCTTAAATGAAAAGCAAAAGCAAATCAGTACACAACTTCAAACAAACAACTAGTGTTGAGATACTATAATACAAAAATTCAATCTGAAGTCTCAAAAAACAAAAATAACCTAAGCAACTGTCTCTTCTTTGAGGAAACGAGAGCGGAAACTAAAGTAAAGAATCGATCTCTCCGAGCTGGTATCGATCTGATCTCGACTTTATATCCATACAATCCGTATTCGGATCCATCTGCCAACCTCTAGTTTCCTGCACATCCATCTAAAACCCTGGTAAAGGATTAAAGGATTAGAAGCTGGTGGGTTAACCCTCCTGTCACCATGGTTTCTCTGTTGGGAGCAACAGATTTGGAATCACAAAAACACACTTAATGCTAAATTAGGGGTTCCATGATTGTGTAAAACAGGAAGTCTGAACTCGTTTTCATTATGTCATCTTCTTGTCTAAGGCAGGGGGTTAAAAGCTAACCCCCCCCCCCCTTTTACTGATGACACAGGAAAATTATTGCTCATCAGTATCTAAATGTTTAAGCTTTTCTATTTGGAGGAATGAGATGAACTTAGTCTTTTTTTGAGGCTCTTTTAAGAATTTTCATGAAAACACGCTGACGTTTCAAGGGATTTTTAATATCCTGTCCTGTGTTGCTCCTCGTTGCTTTGAGTAAGACTCTGAAAATGGGGTGTACGCACACACAGCGTGATGAGCTTTAGGTCATCAGGCCTCCGATGATGGCAGCCAGGTTAGGAGAGACGGTTTTAACACGGATTACGGCGGCCTTTGTCACCGGATGGTCCGCGGTCTAAAAGGGAAGAATGGGAGAGTGTCACGAGCTGTCACCCGTGATTACCGTTAGCTGAGTGGAGCCTTTGAGGCCCAGGGCCCACGCACAGGTTCCTGGACAACACAGGGGGCCCCAGGTTGAGCCCGGGGGGCTTTGGATCAGCTTTGGGAGAGCTGATGGCACACCCTGTCTCCCTGCCGGGGGCAGCTTCAAAGGAATATGAATGTCAGCTCTTTCTCACCCGGCCTGTCATGCAGGAGGAGGGAGGCCGGGGGGGGGAGGGTCCGGGGTGGCCCAGTGTAGGGGGGTTTTTGCGTTTGGGCTTTCAGGACACGAATGGGTGGCTCACCTTGACCGTCCCGTCTCCCCCCGGTTATTAACTTACTGACACAGTCGGAGAGATAAAGGGGTCTCTGATCCCCTCTTCGCTCTACATCACTGAGCAGCTTAGCTCCTGGTTTTAAAACAATCCTGAAACACACCTCAGCACCAGTCATCTGTCCAATGCAAACCAGATAAACAATTTAATAAACAATTTCTTTAGAACTGAAGCGATCTTCAGAATCTTTTCTCCTGTTTTTATGTTTTTAAGTTACATTTTCCAACCTGTTGCTGTTTTATTTGTTCATATTTGATTAAAAATAGACCTGTTTCTGCTTTTGTTATGATTGGTTACACTTTTTGTGCCAAAATACATGGTTCAGGCACAGAAAAACCCACCGAAAGCCAACTCAGGACTTAGAAATGACTGCTAACATCTTCAGGAAACCCTGAAGTGTTCAGCACAGGTTTGTTTCAGGAGGACCTTGTTGTCTCTTCTTCTAATTTTTTTACCACATCAGCATGAATCCACCATCAGTTCACTCCTTTAGTAACGCAGTAAGACAACGTCTTAAACCGAGTTATGTTGAGGTTTTATGATTCGTATAAAGCGTAAGGAGGCTGAGAGGAAGCCTAGGCCGCAGTAACAAACGGATAATGACAGGTAAAGGAGGGGAAATGACAGGAATGATGCCCGAATGAAATTATAGACTGAGTAATGGCGTATAATCACGAGTTAGTCTGTGCGCAGGGGGACAATGCGTTATTGTAGGAAAGTCAGATTTTGCACAGTCAGCATGAGACGATGCGCAGATGTCAGTAAATATACGCGTGTTACGTATTGTGAGTCTCTCAAATAAGGAGGGAAAACATCCTCACGGCTCTAACCCTAACCCTAACCCGCCCGTGTGTGTGTGTGTTTCCTCAGTGGTGCTACCAGGGGGAGTGCGTCGCCTTCGGCACCTGGCCTCAGAGCGTGGACGGAGGCTGGGGGCCGTGGTCCTCGTGGGGGGAGTGCAGCAGGACCTGCGGGGGCGGTGTGTCCTCCTCCATGAGGCACTGTGACAGCCCAGCGTAAGTAGGCAAAGTAAGCCACAGCAAGCTGAACACACACACCCAGGTCCTGCCTCCAAAGTGTGTGTGTTTGTGTGTTTGCGGATGCCGGCTGGATGTGGGACACATCCTGGGCTGCAGCAATTAGGCCGTTTCGGAGGTAAATTAGCTGTGAAATATTTCCCGGGATGAATGCCTCCTTCTTGGGACGAAGAAACTGAGGGCTTCACTGTTTTGGATGACTTTTGGAGGCAGAATATCAACTTTTTGGTCGAATTCTGCAGGATGTAATGAAGCGTTCAACTTGACTTACGACCTGTCTGCGTTTGTACTTTTGAAATATACTTCTGTGGAGTGATTTACGGCTCCTCTATAAAGTCAGACCAAAGAAACGACTAATTGAATCTTACTCCCATGCGGCCACAGAGTTTTTTTTATGATAAATGTCATAAGTTTCCCGTCAGACAGGTAAGCGAGTCAAAAGTCACAGGACATCCTTGTATTTAACAAACTAAAGGGAAAACGACATATCTTAAAGTTGTGAGTGAGGGATCCTATCTTTTAGCCTATATAAAAAATGGCCGCCATCTTGAAAGCCGCCATATTGGATCAAGGCAAGGTTTTTCCAACAGGAAGGTGGTCATGTAGCCTATCAGAGAAGTCCAGGAATGTCTCAGAAATCCATATCCACAATCAGATTGACAATATCCATCTTAAAATATCTGTTTGACGTGTCCGTGTGCTGTCCCTGGTGCTGAACATGTCAAACTGCTGTGAAGGCAACGTTTCAAGTTGTTATTGCGGCTTTTTGTGGCGGTAACTGTTGAAGCACAAGAGATATTTCAAATACAATCGATTACAATTCTGGTTTTCTTGGGCACTTTTCAGTAAGCTTTATATTAAATGATTTTTTTAGCTATTCTGACCTGAAAAACAGTCATTTCTGTTTCCAAAATTCCAAATATAGTTTAAGTTGAAGAATTCTGAAAAGCTGACGCCTTTGCAGCCTTTTTGGGGCTCTGATGGGCATTGACAGCAACACAGCACCTGGGTGCAAACTCCAGTTTAAAAAATATACCACTTAAGCAAATTGGCAAATAAAACTGAATTTTAGTCTTATAGATGTGAAAATACACACAAGTGTTGCATCAGGCCTCAGAAGATCAGGAGAACTGCATAAGACATCACAATGGTATTTTTTTTAGAAAGACTAGCTGAAGACAGCTTTGTTTTCCCCCTGATTTGATTTCAGTATAGACATTAATTTAAAAAAAACATCGGCATGGATGTGTTTCAGCTTGAGTCTGGCAGAAGTGAAGCCATTGTGAAAGCTTTGAGTAAACACGGATTTGATTTAGGAAAAAGAAAGAAGGGGCCCAAAATACCCAAATTTCTAATGCTGCTGCACCTGTTTGTCAGCACTCTAAAATATCAAGCTCTTCCAGCTTTAGTGCAGCAGCGACAGAGAAAAGTTTTGCAAAGAAAAACCCCTTCTTTGTCTCCTCCCAACGTTTGAGATGGACTCAGAGAGGAAGCATGCGCAGTGAGTTAGCACACGGCCCCCCCAAAAGCTTATGGAGAAGCGTTTTTGTTTTAAAGCCTCCCATGTGTCTGCGCAAGACAAATCATTGAGCAGAGCATCTCTGGCTGGCAAGTAGACATCTGGGATCTTTATCCTTCTTCCATTGTCACATTCCTTTGTTTTGGAAGCGAGGTATTACATCGCTCATCTCAGGGGGAAGTGAGGAGAAAAAGGCCGCGGTGGATGAGAGGGAAGAAAAAAGAAGGGGAAGGCACCGGCATAATGTGGACCACCTGTGTAAGGTGATCGCTCAGACATCAGCGCAGAGAGGAGGGAGGCTGCAAAAAAGGCAGCCAGACCAGCCTCCAACACATTCATTACAGAGTCCCCCTCTGCAGTGAAGTGGAAATAATCACGGAGGAAAAGGAGGCTGATGAAGGAGAGCGGGGTGGGGGGAGAGAAACAAGGCTTTCAGAGCCGGGAGATGTGAGGCGAACACTGGACGAGGGAGGAAAGCGAGAAGGCAAAGGCTCTGAGGGGTTACAGACTGCCGTCTTTCTCCCCGAGCTAAATGTCACGTCACACTTAAGAGCAGCTTGGGTTTCGTGAATGAATCACTGGCACACAAACGCGGCGAGCGCAGACGCACAAACGCACACTTTGTGTTGGGGCAGAGAGGCTTTTCAGGCCTGTTTCGTGTCACCGGACCGTCCTCACATACCACCCTCCATCCTGAAAAGGATTCGTGCTGTCATTTACTGGGTTTTGATGTGACTTAGTGTGTCCGCATTGTAATTACTCACCCTAAATCTCTTGTTCCTCGCAGCCCATCTGGACGAGGCAAATACTGTCTTGGAGAGAGAAAACGATACAGATCCTGTAACACTGACGTGAGTCCGCTTCTTCTTTTCCCCTGTTTTGTCTTTTGTTTTCAGATACTCAAATGAATTTGACTTCTTTTCCCTTTTTTGTTTGCATCGAAATATGAAATATGGTGGATTTTATTGATTTGAACTTAAATAGGAACCGGAAATCTCACAGACACACACGTTTTCTGACCTTATTACTGCTACTAGAGGTGGACAGTGGACATAAATCTGTGTGTAACAGATGTCTGGGCATTGTTCGACCAGAGAGGCCTGCATGCTTTAAAGAGCTCAAAAAGCACGAGGACCTCTGTCTTGAATCAGTGGTCAGGCAGAACCAGATAAGGCCCACTGTGATCCACAACATCTTTAAGGTGGCTGGAAAAATTCACAAAACAATTTTAGCCACAGGTAAAAAAGTTTCAGCCACAGATACGAAATCAAATCAAGGTTTGTTCGTCACATACAGTCACACGTGGCTCAACCACCCCTTAAATGCTTTCATGACGGCATTTTAAAGTCAAGGAAATGCACATTATAAAGATATTAAAAAATGTAAAAGAAGACAATATATAAAAGTGATCAATGTTGCACAAAATAACTAAAATATAGCATATGGAACATAAAATAACCCCAACCCATGTGACCACATACAGATTATACAGATGTATGCAAATTATATGCATATAAAAAACATACACACACGATAAATATGCATATCAATGCAAACACATATGCACGAGGTCAGTGGCTTAGTCTCTCTGTTCTGGTTTTCAAAGAGCGAAAAACGCTTCCCAGACGGTAAAACGCTCCATTTCCACCGTCTTTTTGGCCCTCGAGAGGCACCGTTTCCTGCATTTGGACCTCAGGTCAGGAAGCTGGACCCTCTGAAAAGCCGGCCCGTCCTTTGCTTGTGCGGCGTGACCACGACCGGCCCTCTGAGATGAGAGCCCTGTCCACATCTGTGGAGGATGTCGGCGGATACGTCCACTTTACTTTCTGTTAACCGTCCATGAGGTGTTGTTCTCCTCTCTGAGACCTCTCAGAAAGAGCTCAAAGGGCTCCTCAGCCTTAGACAGACAACAGTAACCGTCCAGCCAGGTGGAGGTTGAACATTCCTGCCCAGAGGAAAAGGAAAGATGTGCCAAGCTGGTGGGATCTGAGAAGCCAAGAGAGTTTTCAGCGAGTCCCGAGTGAGAGCCGCGAACACGGACGTAAAAGAGAAAAGAGCCTGAACCAGAAAAAACCCAGACAGAGACGGCTGTGTTCAGGTGGCCTGAAAACCGCCCAATCTCCGCGCGGCCGCTCGAGATTCCTCCGGCGGAACGCGCTGTCCTGGAAAAGGCTGCACATGCTTCCCGTCAGCTCGCAGCATCGCACCTCCTTTAAGCTTTCGGACATATTTTTCTGGAGCGAAGGCAGACGATGATAAAAAAAAAATGCACAGGCGGTGATTCAGAGCTCCCCTCCGGCGCGTTTTGGCCTCCTCCTCGCTTTTGTCACTTTATAGTTCATTTATTATTTGTGACATTTCGCTCGAGTCAAACAATGATGACAGCTTCAGAGCACATTTCATGAAAAGTAATTTGCTTTTTTTCGTAGTTCTGGAGCAACGCTTTATACAAATACTCAACATGGCTGCAGGCTGAGGTCCCTGTTCAGCTATTTGTAGGTGGGCCTGTTTTTTTGCGAGATTGAAATTGAAATAGTTTGAGTCCTACTGGAGGTTTAACCACAAGCTGTGAGCTTTGGACAGCGATCGACCCCCCGAACCGCCGAGTCATCGCTCTGACCGAGGGATGCATTGACCTGTTGTTTCTAGCTGAGCTCCGTTTTTATATCGCATTAGTGGACGGTAAAAAAAAAAAAAGCATGTGGTGATAGTGGGGGGTTGGGTTGGGTCGCCTCCAGCTTTTAGGTGTCATTACAGAATATATGAGATAACAAACGGCAGTTCTGCGTCAGCCGTCGGTGAAGTATTTTCATTCTGACAATTCTGCAAAAAAGCAAACAGAAAATCCGGTAAAAACTCTGCAGATGTTACGTTTGACAGCAGAGTTTGGCTTGGCAGCCCGAGGAGGTGTTTGAGTTCCTCTCAGAACTTTTTGCTATTGTTGTGGCAGCCGAAGCTTTCTGCTGACTTTCCTCTCCGCTCTCATTTTTCACCTCCAGTCTATGAAGTTTCTCAGCTCATAAATGTGCAGTCAGAACTGGGGCTTGGACTTTAAACTGTTTATTCGAATTAATTAATTACAGAGAAAACAGTAAATAACACATTTAATTACATTTTTCAAGGTTCCTCCAGCCCCACAGGTGGCGCTAGTGCAGATAAGTTTTTTTTAATAGCATTTTTCAGCCTCAAATCAGAAGCAAGGATGCTTTGAGGATCGATCAAAATACTTTTAAGAAGAAATAATAAAAGTTATTCTCATCATGATGAGCTGAAATGTCATTTTCCCAAAACCCTGAACTCCCTCTGGAGTTCCGTGGTGAAATCTAGTTTATTTTGTTACAGAATCACAAAGAAAACCGCTTTTAAATGTCCAGAACGAGCAAATGTTTGCAAACTTCAAAACCAGAAATCCAAAGCAGATCAGTAAATAAAAGTACCTTTTAGCTCAGGGTGTTGATAAAGTTAATAATAAAAGTGTGTTTACACTGAAACTAAAGCAGCAGGTGCCCAGACACCTCGTTCCCTCTATGATTTCTGCCTTACAAAGCGTCTAATTTGCTCTCCATCATTGCACAGATGTAAAACTCGGAAAACAAAGCAGTTGTTCCAGCTCAGAGGGAGACACGTCGGAGAAATGTGTTGGAAAATATCACTTCTATCTGACAGATGACTCGGAGTTTTGCCCAAAAAGAGCAAAAAGATAATTAAAGACATCATCCTTGAAGAGGCAGCAGCATATTTTTGGTGAAAAACATTAATTATCCACAGCTTAGACCAAAAAAAGCTCCGTTCCCAGCTGCTTTCCTGCCTCTTTTCTGACACTTGGCCTAATCGGTGACAGAAACGAGCCTCCCAAAGCTTCTCTGAACACGAACCGCACATGTAAATGTAATCTGGAGCCGTGTTGACGTTCTCAGCACACACTTGCTCCAATATCCAGAGTCTTCTGACTCAGTCTGCCCGGCTCAGTGTGTAACTTTAACGCTGGCATGTTGGCGAATCCCTTGAATGGTAATGAAAGAGGGCTGGCCTCCCCGTGGTCCTCTCCACTATGGAACACTTTCAGCATGTAAAAAAAAAAACTGCTTTTGACCCAAGAGCTTTTATTTGTCCAGGGGGAGAGTGTTTGAGGGGGTTCTATGGACCTTTTCACACCAATAAAGAGTTTCTTTCCCACTTTTTTTTATCTCCTCGCACACAGCACAGAGCGCTATCTCAGATAAGTCCATCCAGAACCGGGGCCAGGACCGGTTACGGTTACGGGCTGTGCTCCGTCTCCCTCATCTGGCTGCCTTTATGTTTCTAATTATCCTGCCAGAGAAATACTTCATTATCGGACATAAATCCACTCGTGCGAAATGGGTCCAAACAAAAAAACAAAAAAAACCCACACACACACAGTGAGGAAATCTGGGAAATGAGCCTGTTTTAGGGGCTGAAAATAAAAAGGTGACATCTCAGAAACTAAGGCTGGTGTAGGTGGTCAGCACCGTGGACTCACAGGCCAGAGGGGTCTGGGTTCGAGTCCCCGGGGGAACCAGGACCTTTCTGTATGTTGCCTGTTCTCCCTGTGTCTGTGGGTTCTCTCCGGGTTCTCTGGCTTCATCATGCTAGGTTGATTGGACATTCCAAATTGCCCTTAGGAGTGGTTGTGTGTCTCTGTGTGGCCCTGCATTTGGCCCATTGACCACTGGGTTAGGCTCCAGGCCCCCCCATTTGGGAAGAAGTGGTTCAGAATATGGATAGATGGATCTTAGACCCTGACCAGCTGCTAATGATGCTGTTTTTTCTAACAAAGACTCACTCAGAGTCTTTCCCAAATCTTGTATGTACTCTTGTGTTTTGGTTTTAGACCCTCACTATGAATCATCGTTTTTTGCCCCTCATTCTCAATGCAATAAAAGTTCCTTTCTATTAAGTTTTTTTAAATTATTTTAAATATGATCGCATGCAAAGATTTAAACAAATACATAAATAAATAACAAATCAAAGTGCAACTTTTGGCAGAAAAACAACAACTGTTTTATGGCACTGTGATAAAAAATGAAAAATAAAGGAAAATTGAGAAGTCAATTGCGTATGAACAATAAAATACGGCCGTCAGGACTTTGAGATCAGTATTTATCAGGACTGTTGTATGTGTTAACAAAAACATCACCTGGTTTTCTCATTATAGATTTGATAGCTTTTTCCAAAATAGCCACACCGTAAAAACTAAATCTTTGGAGCTGTTTAATAAGTTTTACGTAGTTTTAGGGGCTCACGCGGGTCCATTGGGATGTGATGATGATGAGGAAAAAAAGTCATCTGTAATCTTTACAGGTGACCAGCAGGATTTTGGGAGTCTCTTTCTATAATGACGTCCAGACTGAACCATATGTAGCAGCTCCAGAGTTTTATAGCAGACATCATCGAAATGTGAATAAAACAGACGCAGTTAAACTTTATTTTGATGCACTTCTCAAGTTCGATTCACTTATCACACGGATTTTCTACGTGATATTTTTTATTTGGTGGCAACAGAAGACTTCAGAGCTTCTTTTTCTTCTCGGAAAATACGAAAAAGAATGGTCTATGACCAAAAAGTCTCTGGTTTGTCGTTCCCAGGCGTGTCCCGCCGGCTCCCGGGATTTCCGAGAGAAACAGTGCGCCGATTTTGACAGCATGCCTTTCCGCGGGAAGTACTACAACTGGAAGCCTTACACCGGGGGTGAGTTCAGGAGAAGACTTTAGATAGTAAATGATTGTCCCAATGCACAAAAAAAAAAATTTTTTCAAATAAAAAAAAAAAAAAAAAAAAGCACAAGTGCTGAGCTGTAAAACCTTCCTGTCGTCCTTTTTGAGCTGCAAATGACAGTTTGCAGGCCAGTCTTCTGGCCCGTGTTCCCTGTTAACGCCAACAGATGGTTTGATGGGGGGGGGGGGGGGGGGGATTCCTCAGATTCCTTTAAACTCCTGCTGGTCTGGCAGCTGCTGCTGGTGTGAACCGGGAGATCCGAGTCTCCCCAAGTGGACCAGAAGAAAATCTTAGATTATTTTTTTGCGTTGTCTTCTTTGGGTCCAGACTGTGTTTCTTAATGGGCAGACGCAGGTGCCGTTCCTCTTCATAGGAAGATAAACGGTGTCTTTCTCCTCCCGATTGTGCCTTCCAGTGGTGGAGGTTATAACACCAGTAGACTCGAAGGGATGTGATAAAGTCCGAAGCATGTAAACACAGCTTTTGTTTTCTTTCTGAGGTGGAGGAGCTAAAGTTTGATCTTGTTTTTCAAAGGGGGTCTGTTTTTGTCAAATCCCCCCCAAACACGGCTGTGTGTGCTGGGAGCCGTCGGGGAGTTGGCGTTGAGTCCGGTGGAGATAACGATGCTCTGAGTGTGTGTGTGTGCACGCTCCTGTCTGCAGGTGGGGTGAAGCCCTGTGCGCTCAACTGCCTGGCCGAAGGCTACAACTTCTACACCGAGCGCTCCCCCGCAGTCATAGATGGCACCCGGTGTCAGGCGGACTCTCTGGACATCTGCATCAATGGAGAGTGTAAGGTAGGGAGGCCTAAAGTCACCCTTTAGAAGCAAAAAGAGGACTCATAACCAGCCACTGAATAAAGAATAATGACATAAGTCAACAAATTTAGACACTAATTATCATTAAGCAAGTTCAAAAGTGAATTTAAGTATTAACATTTGTGTTCAGCGGAACAATTTTTCCCATTTTAGATCTAAAAAATGGAAATTTAAAATGTCCGACAAGAGGAGTAAAGGTCCCCTTCTACAGAATTTTATCAATGGCTGGTCGAGGACTTGCTGATGTTGATCAGTGGCACCTGTTAGCATGAGTTAGCATGGTCCTGTTATCCTTTTCGTGTTCCCATGGTGGATGAGCATTTCCTGCTGCATCATCCTCCACTTCGGCAGCACATCAGTGAAACAGCATCTTTAAAACGGCGAGAGGAATCTTGTAATGGAAAAAAATGCGTTTCTCCTGGGAATCACTTCCTTGTGATTCAGTCTGGATCTTTGACTCTCTTGGGCCCCGCCAGAGCATCTCTGATTCAGCTCTAAACGCAGTGGTATCCAAGGTGGTGATGCCAAAATAGGGCTTATGCCCAGTTCATAAGAGTGTGGAAAAAGTGTGTAAAGAAAGCTGGGAATCCAGATAAACCTGGTGATCTGTGTAAAACACACAGATGGCAAAATGCGCTTTACCAATGAGAGGCCACAGAATCATCTGGTTGAATATGTGGCGTCCGCTACCATTCATTCACCCGATCCCAGCTGGATTTCACCCCCTGAACATGAAACTGAAGACAAAAAGACCAACAAAAGCGCACGAAGGGAGTTGAGCACATTAAAGGCAACATGAGCTATTTCTCCCATTCGGACGTGAAGTATTTATCACATAACTAGCCTGAACGTGTTGTGATAGCACAGTACTCCCTTTGGTGGGCTCTCCTTATTGCCTTTTGCTTTATCTCCCCGTTCGGTGAGCTTTGCTCGGCCTCTGCCAGCCCCCCTTTGACAGCTTTGCATTCTGGATGTTGATCGCACAAAAACGAAACCATTCTTTAAAACAATCAGGCCTTTGAGCCGCTGATTGTGATCGTATGACGCTCGAACGGCTCTTTTCTGACTCTTATCTGAGCTCTGCAGCCTCCACCGGGATTGTTTTATGGAAATAATACACAGAAAATCACAGTCGTTATTGAAGAATGATTTTCTTTATGTTTGAAAAGAGTGATTTAATAATAAGGCCAGGCAACATTTTACGAAGGAACTTGGCATTCTGTGCTGTCTTTGTTTTCCTAAGCATAAATCACTTTGTGCCGCTTGTGTGAGCTCGTGGGCAGATGAGGGTTTTTTTGCGTATTCTCTGAGATGCAGCTGAAATAACTTTTTGGTTTTCTCACTTTGAGTATTAACTTTGACTTCCACCTGACCGTACATTTTTATTCCCGTCTGGCATGGAGACGCCGCACCGGTGCCCGAAACTTCACTTTGATTCTGGAGGAAAAACACAACATGATGTGTGTTTTAAGAGCAGAGAAGGCACCGAGAGGTGTTTTATTCCCCAGAAAAGGAGCCGCGTGGGTTGGTTTCCAGTGTTTTTATTTCAGAGGCGGACTCTCTGGCCTCACTGTCACATTGTGATGAATCTCTGGACCTGTGTCTGCTTGGAAATCTCTCAGAAAGTCTCAGAGCTAAGGGGGAGGGAGGAGGATCGCACACAAGAAGGATATCAATGGGAGAAAGCACCTGAGATCCAAACGAGGAGTTAAATGCCACAAAAAGAAGAAATCACACAAAATACTTAGACAAATTTATCCTACCCCTCAGTGTCTTTGTATTCCAACTCCTTTATTGAAGCATATGTGATGTTTTCCTATTTTTTCTCAGTAATGTTCAATGATCTTGCCATCAAATGGAAATATTCTACTTTCTATATACAATTGAACAACATTCGGTCTCACTTAAGTGTAAATATGCACATTTCTTTTCTCATTTGCTCCAACTTTGCTGGATCTTATCCGCAGTGTGTGGATGTGTGTGTGTTTTTAACCTGTATTTAGGCTATTTTCACACAAGTGAAGGGCTGGAACCTGCAATCAGCCTAATTATCACTCACATAGTAACGTGTGTTATTTGTCAGAGCCCCTCGGAAACAGTGGCCTCATTTTTCCTTTGTGTCATAATGGGAAGGTGCTATTTCTTATCTCCAACCAGTCAATCAAATCTATTGAAACTCTTGTATAAAATCACACACAGTGAAATAAGACAGACACAATGTCAAAGAGGTAAGATTTAAAATCTTCAGCAGGTCATATTATATAACTTCTAAACTCCTTACATACTGTATATTATTGGCACTGCAAGATTTCTGTTCTACAATTTGGTGAAGCAAACAATCTCTGTCAGTTAACGTTCACTTCCTTGTGCAGTCTGTGCCAGGAAGAAACAACACTGCACAACAATGGAGCCCAAATCCCCCCAAATTATCGACTTTTCAAAGGAAATCTCATCAATAAGCGTATTATTGCATTACTACACATATACTTTTTTGTTCAAACATTTCCTGTAACATTGTGGTCTAAAAGTGGCGAGAAAAAAGCTGATTTTGATGCAAAAAAATAAGAAGTCAGTGGAAAAAAAATCATAGCTCAAACTTCAGCATATTCGTGCTCTTTTTTGCAAGTTTAAATAAGTAATGGTACCATTTGAAAGTCCAGCAGCTTGTGCGTTTATGTGTTTTTGTGTGGGACCTCTCCATGCTGATGTGACCTGCATTGTATTCTGGTTGACTTCCTCTTAAAAACAAACGAGACAAACCCTTCCCCTTAAAATCCCCCAGTCCACACCAGCCCCGCTTCAGTTTTTATCTAGAGATAAAAGAGCAGATTTTGTGGTTTCTGAGGGACAGACTGTCACTCTGGTGAATTGATTTATTTCTCATCTTTTAAGGATTACCCCAGATTGACTCTTTTTGACACCGCTGAGTATTAGATCACATCATTGGGTTATTTTAGGTTATCCTAAGGACTGGAAAAGCAGTCCTATTCTGTCTGAATGTGAACAAAATCCATTAAAAGAGTGTTGTCTCTTTGAAGAGAATGTCTAATGTCCTTTAAGAACATCTTTAGGTTAAAGTAACAACGTAAATTCGTACTTAAAATCAACAGTACTGCCCGTTCTTAAAAAGTGCCACCAGCTACAGGAACTTGCTATTTTTGAAGACTTATCTTGGTTTTGTGCTCCGTTATTCACATTCCGACTTGAATTTTATTACAAGTCAAGTATGACACTAGACAATCACTTTTGGACAGACCACAGTGGTTTCCTGACGTTTTGTTACTCGGAAAACAAAAAAACGTACTCCATTTCCATGCTTTCTGCACAGTTGCACATTGTGTTTGACTGAAAAAATTTCTATTGTTTTAAATCCATTTGAATGGGCAAATTTGAATCAAAGTTTGACGTGAATTTTAGGGATGGGGTTTCCTTTGAAAAACAGGCTTGCAGTTCTGTTTTAAGTCATTTAGCTAGGCTATGCTAAGCTAACTAGCTCCTTCCAGAGACTTTGACTAAAACAGGCATAACAGAGGTATTACTCTTCTGTCTGTAGCAAAGTTAAACAAACATTTCATACTGTTCAAATCTGAACTTTGTTCAAACACTGAAGCTGCTTTGTCGATTAAGAAATCTCTTGTTGAATAACCTGTCTGAAACCCGTTATCAGCTCGAGGCGGCGCTGGCTGACTCTGGCTCTCTCTTGATTTACTTTAAAGCACGTGGGCTGCGACAACATCTTGAGCTCTGACGCAAAAGAGGATCGATGCCGTGTGTGTGGAGGGGACGGCAGCACCTGCGAGGCCACGGAGGGACTCTTCAACGAATCCCTGCCCAGAGGAGGTAGCCCCTTAGCCCCCTTTAGCAGCCATTCCAACCCCCGGTCAAAAGCCGTGCTGGTTTGGTGTCTGGACGCCCAAATAACACCAGCGAAACGTGTGCTTTTTTTGGCTTTTTTAGAATGATCTTATTATAAAACCGCTTCATATTTATTGTTTCTCTCGTTAGCTTCACGTTGAGGTGAAGAAATCTGGAGAAGAGATCAGCACTTAGTGCTTGGCTTAGCCTATGTTCATCTATAGACAGCAGGAGAGAGAGAAAACATATTTCTCCTTCTATGGTATGGCTAGTAAACCATCTAAAAATACTGTGTGTGCATGTGAGACTGTAAAAGAAAAGCGCACATCTGTTTAGTCCTCCTGCTGGATTGCTTTGTCCTTTTTGGGCGATTTGGAATTTAATCTATACGTGCTCCTGCCTCGTATGATATGGAACTTCATGTCTTCTGCCTGTTGGAAAATATGTCACACACGGAGGGGGGATTAGAGGGAGGTTTCCAGTGGGAGGACTACCCTAATAATACGTGTTTTTTTGTCTTCCAGGCTACATGGAGGTGGTTCAGATCCCAAAAGGATCCGTTAACATAGAGATTAGAGAGGTCGCCACGTCAAAGAATTACATCGGTAAGCCTTCAATTAACGAGAGGGGATGACGGTGTGGCTTTCCAGATGGGTAGCTAATGGACAGAGTGCCATGAAATGTTTTGAAAAACTCCAGACTTTCACGACCCCTTTGCTTCTCCTGTATCACGGAGTGAGGTTTTATTTTGGGGGATCTAAGTGAAACAAAACTGTCAAGTTTGAAGGCAATAGAGTACCTCCAAAAGAGTATCTACCAAATAAAGACTTCACACCTGTAGTAATCCTAAACAGAGGCTCGCATATGAAGGTAAAACAGCTTTTTCTTGCTTTTTTGACGATCTCAACTCTTTCCCTCTGCCATCATATTGTCTGGGAGCTTTTGGATGCTCTTTGAGTTGTTAAAGGAAAGCCAAATGGATGGTTGGCTCCAAGGGGAGCAATCAAGATGGTCATTTTTCACCAGTAATCTGTTAATCTAGCGATCCTTTCACTGACCGTAATGTGAAGAAGGGGTAGAAACGTGAGGCCGTTTCCCATTGTCCGATCACTTCTGCCTCAGCTGCATTTTCTTTTGCCTTTGTCAAGGGCGAATCAGAGGATGGCATCATTTAATCTCCTTTTTGCCTAAAGTACAGCCATAAAACAGAGTCTCTAACCTAAAACAGAAGGTTAAAAACCCTCCCCGAGTCTGCCTTGGCAGCCGGCTCGTGCGCTTCGTTCCAGACTAAACAAAAAGCGTTCGCAACCCTGGCAATGTCAGAAGCAAAACAATCAGACAACAGGATTCAATTAAGCTAGTGCTGCGTCTCGTCATTAGGAAGAGAAAGACATGTGACAGCTTGTTGAACTTATAGCGAACGGTGTTGACGGAGGGCTTAAGTTACACTTCGAATCACAGCGCTGCATCAGATTTATAGAGCCATGGTGACAGCCGCCCGGTCCTCCAGGATTACGGGGGATATGATGTCCATTTATCAACATTTAAAGAGTGCTGTTTTGGCTGATTTTCCCCCGTCCAAGCAATCTTTAATTTTGTTAAGAATGTCATCCGTGACCTCATTCATAATGAAAATATTTTCTCCTACAGCGTCTCCCGAATCCTCGTTAGAATTGCTAAACGTTTCATAAATGATAAACAATAAAAAACACGGAGAGCGGATTACCAGTGCGGAGTCGTGTAAACTGCAATCTTCCAAAAAATCACGATGCCCACAGGCTCTGCCAGATGTGCTGGAAATAGATTTACAGAGGAGAGGGTTGTGTGTTATGTTAAAGAGGGGTGAGCTATTCTTCATCCATCGGAGCGAACGCTGCTGAGGGGAATCTGCAGAATGCGAGCCAGGGAGACGGAATAGCAAGTGGTTGGACTGTTTCTCCTCCGTTTGGCCCCATTTCGACGCGGAGAAAGTGGATATTTTCAGATCTGTTGTGCTTGGAGACGGGCTTTTGTTTTGACGACCAGACGGAGCGGTATTCACGAGAGTCGTCCAGGTTTTCCACCTGAACTCTCTCTCTCCTGTCCAGAGTTAGAGGCTCGTACATGCAGGGAGGCCGCAGGTTGTCGGAGAGGATGCCACCCGCTCGTCTTCTTCTGCCTAAAACTGATTGTTCCTTGTCGTGTGTGCCCATCTAGCTTTGAAATCCGAAGGTGATGACTATTACATCAACGGAGCGTGGACCATCGACTGGCCCAGGAAGTTCGACATCGCAGGGACCGCCTTCCACTACAGGAGACCCACCGACGAACCCGAGTCCTTAGAGGCCCTGGGAGCCACCACTGAAAACCTGGTCGTCATGGTAACACACCTTCTATCTGTGGAGCTTTTTCACTCATTGGGTCCTCACACGTGACCTCTGCGAAGCTTCTGTGGAAAACCGTGAAAGTGTGTGTGTTGGGGGGGGGGCGTTGCTCATAAAGTTGTTACGTGTGGTTTTCGTGTCTGAAAACCTCACAGGGCAGCAGTAACTTTTCATGGAGACAGTTTCACCTTTGACTTCCTGTAAAGACTCAGAGGGTCGCTCCTCTTTTCAGGTGGTGGAGTTTCACGTCCAAACATCCAAACAGCCCAATCCTTCGCGCCGTACATTTTGACCCCGTTTGCTTTTGTCTAAAACAGCTTAGCGAGGAGTTCCAACATGCAAACATGCCACTCGGTTTAAGGAAGAAGGCTCAGCGTAGTAGGGAACGCTCCAATGTTGGACTTCATCCGTCAAACAATGTGGATTTAAATCACTTATATTACCCTTTACACCACTTTTAATGGTTAAGGAACGCCCACATTAGCTTGATTTAGTGAACATCTGTATTACTGTGTGGTAGACGGTCTGCATCCACACAGCACAGAACTTTACTGGATGTCATGACCAGTTCCTCTGCATGTTTGGGAGCTGATGTGATGCAGCCGTTGGTTTCTCTGAGGTGTCTGACCTCAGGTGTATAAAACACAAACTATGTGGACAAACTATTCGCAATGTAGCTACAGGAGCTTTCTGTGTTACGATCCTGTGTGCAGAGCCCCCTGGACCTCTTCAAACTATACTGGTTGGATCATCACTCTCTAAAGATAAATGCTCCTTACTGTTCATACCCTTGATATTCTAGATGTTTCTAAAGATGAAAGACGAAAAGTTCATTTTCCTCTTGTGGGTGTACACCGCAGCATTTGTTAGATTTTCCTCCCAGAACTTTGTATGTGGTTTTGAAAACCAGTGCCACCATCTAGCGACAGTATAACCATGGAAACGTATTCATGCTCATTCTTTGGGGATTAACGGGGAAGAAAAATCCCTTTAGAAATGCTTTGATGTAAAGTGAAACCCAGCTAGTCGCTAATACGCCAAGAACTGAGGGGACGCTGCCTGGGTGGACAGGTTTAGGCCTGTTGAAGGATCAACAACAGCACTGTTACAACTAAGAGCAGCTCACAGCTTAGATTGTTAGAGGGATCCAAACTCTCAGGTCGAGTTGCGAGTTTGACAGCGGAAGCTAACTTTTGTCAACTGGTGCCTGTGCAGGTCCTCCTTCAGGAGCATAACCTGGGAATACGCTACAGGTTTAACGTGCCCATCCAGCGCACGGGGAGCGGGGACAACGAAGTGGGCTTCTCCTGGTACCACCTGCCCTGGTCTGAATGCTCAGCCACCTGCGCTGGAGGTAAATCCACACTCCGATCCCAGACTGACCCACTCCAGGATGCCCAGTTTAACAACTTAGTTGGATACAGAACGAGCCAAACACTTTACAAATGACCATAAACATATTGTGTTCGAAGAGGCAGTCCTCTGACTGGCTTTGTTGGAAAGCTTTCTTTTTTTAAAAAGAGTCCTCCACTTCAGCGCTGAGCACCAGAACAAGCTGCGGGCGCTTAAATTCTTCTGGAATACCTCTAATCTCCTCAAACATTTATGATTTTAAATCTTATATTCGTCTGTCATCCTCTAAATCTTCCCTGACCAATATTTCCGCAAACTCGGCAGATCATTGTGCCGAAAGCCAGGATCATAATTCAAGATGGGTTTCCAGAATCCTTCCTTTATGGCTGGAGATTCAACCCCTCTAATAAATTCAATATGTATATTTTCTATATTTTAGCCACGGTAATGAATACGGTGTCGGTTTCGTGAATGGGGTGCCCGGCATAGCTGCTGGTTTACCAGCGCTGCAGCGGGACGCACGCGGCCGCTCACCCCCCCCCCCCCCCCCCCCCCCCCGGCCAGAGCCCAACGCTAAACCTGAAACCACAGCTGGAACACTGGCCGCCGCCTCAAGAATGACAAAACCAAACCTTTTAGCCCAAAAGCAGTGGGTTTCGTGTAACAATAAATAGCGTTTCTTCCCAGTTGTCAAGCGTGGCCTGGACGGGGTTTGGTAATATTTTGTAAAAGCATGACTGAATAAGCATGTTGGTTTTTCTGAGGGAGGATTTCCAAAATCCAGAGCAGAGCGTGGGGCCTTCCAGCATTGTGGACCTGCCTTTGCATTGTCGGTCCAAGTCATAAAGATCAAGTCACTGTGTGTCACTCGCTGACTTTAAACAGGCTAAATGTTCTTTAATCACATACCTGTTTGATATAGTTAGGCCACCTAATTATTAGGGGTTGTGTAATATAGCGTTACAGCAACAAAAGCTATTAAAAACACTTTTTGACAGCATTACAACTGAGTCTGTTTTACCCCGAGGTTTTCCCCATTCCTCTGAACCGTATTTCACTCAAAGCACAGATGGGTGGACTTTCTATACTTTACACAGACCCACACACACACACACACACAGACACACACACACACACTCCATATCTCATTACATCTGCCAGACAAGTCTGCCGCTGGAGAAGTCCCAGGGGAGTCCAAACAGACCCGGTATTAGTAGGTATGGCACACACACACACACACACACACACACACACACACTCACAGACACACACTCACAGACACAGACACACACACACACACACAGTGGGAGGTGTGACAGGGATACGGTAGCCCTCACACTCTCTGGCAGAAGCCAAAGTAAAGAGCTCCCTGCTCTGTAAAAGTGATTCGCCAACATATCCTGCAAAGAATCAGGAATTTACATGTCTGGATCCTGGACAGACTGAAAACGATACCATCCCCGCTCCAACGCGGGCCGAGGAGGCCCGTTCAACGCCACCGGCCGCCTCATCGATCGGCCTTTTCTTCCCCCCTGCAGGTTCCCAAAACCAGGAGGTGGTCTGCAAGAGGCTGGACGACAGCTCGGTGGTGCAGAACAGCTACTGCGACCCGGACAGCAAAACCCCGGAGAACCAGAGGGACTGCAACACCGAGCCCTGCCCCCCCGAGTGCGTATCACCCGCCCCGTTACCATCGGCCGCAGGGCCGCAAATCACAGTCCAGGTTTTTGCTGGGGGAAGAGATGAGGATAGCATCCTCAAACTAAGTATCTTTTTACAACCACATAAAACAAGGGAAGACCTTTAAGCTTCAAGCTTAAAAAGATGATTCTGTGATGGATGACAGAAACTGTTCGAGTCCAATCAAAATACAGGCAGTTTTTATTCAGGCCTGCAGGCATTAGGTCAGGTTCTGTTTGAGTAACATCTGGACTTATTTTGGGTTGCCCACCAAATTGATAAAAGAATATATTTACATTAATTTTTTTATGTTTTTGGTCCCCTTTAATGACGCTTGGGTCTCAAAATACCCTTTACCTGATTCAGAAGAGGAATTTACTGGTCTATGGGTTAGAGCCATTCTATTATACAGTTTCAGGGCTTGACATTTCGTGTAATGTATTTAAATACAGATTAGATATGAAAATGTGCAGTTTTTCTTTTCCTTAAGGCACCAGGACTTTCTTTTTTCATCCTTCACAAAAAAGGGACAGAGAAATTATGCAGCTAATCTTTGAAATATTTCACATTTTTCATGGTCAGCTCAGTTTGGGGTTAAGGAGTCTTTCTGGTTATGGTATTTAATCTGGGGCATTATATGTTGCTGAATCTTTCAGACTGCACCTTTAAACGTATCCAACCTTTTGTCAATTCACCAGGCTGCCCAGATAATATCTAAACTGGTTTATGTTTAGGAATCACAGTGCAAGATAAACGCTAACGCTATTGAGCTAGCATAGAACAGCTCTGCTTTGAGCCAGAATCTTTGAGGTGCTAAGTGGGCTCAGATTCGTTTCTGAATTTTGCTTGTGCTGATAATTGTCTGTAGGTCTCCCTTTTTAGCTTCACAGTGACATTTGATCATTTGGTCAAATGGGAATAAGCGCACAGCAGCTTTAGTTGATGCTTTTAAGAGGAAAAGATCCTGCTTCAGAATCAGTCGTAAAAATGTGTCGGAGGAAAATAAAAATGATAAAATGTCTGTGATTTGTAACTTCATCCGTAAACTATTTTCACTGCCTCTTCTAGCCAAAAAAATAGGAGTTCTGAAAATGACCACCTGTGTTTGATTGCATCTTTGCTAATGCTCGAGGGAAAAAGTGCACGAATACAGGTGGAATATGAATGTTTGGCCAAATGTCCATAAATCATGGCTGGAAAAAGATGAACTAACTGCATAATTTTAATTAGTTATGAATCTGATAATGACTAACCATTGTGTGTTGGTGTTTATCTGAACGTTTCAGATAATAAACTATGGTATTATAAATTTAATGTCTCAGTTACAATCAGTTTTCAGATGATTAATCTTGTGTTATTTATTTTCACATCTGTATTCAATGGACTCAGACGTGCGGTATCTCATTTATTTTGATTAAAACTATGGCCGCGCGTGTGTCTGCAGAGTTATGGCACACACGTGTCTGTAAACAAAGTCAAACAGCGGACTAAGGGAGACCATGTCAACACTATTTCTTAAAAATAGCCAAGTTTTTATGGGCTCTGCTAACGAAAGCTGACATAGATGTTTGAACACATTGTTAATTTTGTATACATTCCTTCAGATGATGTAATATCTCACTGGCTAGCTGTATTTAAAGGGCTTAGTTTTATGATAATAATTCTGTAATGTGTACCCGGAGGGTTAAATCATTTTTTAAAAAGTAAATATCTCTATGAGGCCCCGTGACCCCATTAGCGAATAAGCGGTAACGATAATGGATGGATGGATGGATGGATAATGGATGGATGGATAGATCTGTATGAGCTGGTATGGTGTGTCATAGCTCTGCTAAAAAACGCTAACCTGTATTTGTTAATACATGTATGAATGAAGCAACCACAATGTTTAGGTTGCATTATTCTTGTTTGATGATGACTAGATGATTCATTTGATCTTATGTGTATAGATTTAGGGTTAATAGCTTTTAACATTTTATTAAACAGCAGGTTATTGTGGGAGGTGATAGCTTAGCTTACACCAAATATTCTATCATAAGCAAGAGTTCATTCAGAAACGGCAAATGGTCACTTTTCTTTAATGAATCTTGGGCACAGGTTGAACAGAAAATATAATCAATGTTCATTTGTTGGCTTTACTGATATGTGGTTGTTTGGACTGTGCAGACAGAATTGTTTGACATTTTCCCTCCACTTTTCATGCTAGTTTGAGCGCGGCTAAATTCCTCCCGATGCTTTTTACTGAACAGACTCTCCATAACTGATATTTTCAATCTTTTTAAAAATCTTTTATAGTTGTTTATCATTCAGTATTGTGATTTATTGTTGCATACTGCCAACCATTTTCAAACTAATGATATTAAAATAAACAAGTCATAAACATAAATTGCTGAAACAGGAGGCTTAAAAAGGTCATTGAGTTTTGCAGGTAATCGAAAGGTTTTGGCCCTATAAAGAGTCAAATAAGGCAAGCCAGGAGAAATAATAGCTTGAATGATGGCCCACATTTGGCACCCTGGTCTAGATGTTAAAAATGACCCATGTGAAATTCAGGTTACTACATACAGTCTTCTGTTAAACTACAAAACCTGAACTAAAATGACCAAACGGCATTACTGACCCTAATTTGGTTAAATTACTTATTCAGTTTGTCGTAAATTAATAAATGCCCCATCTTTAGAGGTCTAAGTTATTTAAGCAGATGGCTTGGGTTCGAATCCCAATTCCTTTTTTTATATAAATAACACATGCCTCACATGCCCATAATGCCTTTTTGATTAGTTGACCAAGTTAAAGATATTCAAATGTAGAGTATCACCATATTTATAAACAGAAAATCCGTTTATATGTGGAGTTAAACCAATTTTCTGTCTTATTTTCTTTTCTCAGGTGGTTTATCGGTGACTGGTCAGAGTGCGGAAAGACGTGTGACGGTGGGATAAGGACAAGGACAGTCCTGTGTATCAGGAAGATCGGTCCTGCTGAGGAGGAAACACTGGAGGACTCCCACTGTCTGACTCACCGGCCAATCGAAAGGGAGTCCTGCAACAACCAGTCCTGCCCGCCAAAGTGGGTCACCCTGGAGTGGTCAGAGGTAGGAGGACTCTCTTGCCCTCTTAAACTGACCGTGCTGTCGAGATTCCCTTCCTTATCACGCTCCTCTTCTTTCCTAGTGCACACCTAAATGTGGCCCAGGGTTCAAGCATCGCATCGCCTTGTGTAAGAGCAGCGACCTGACCAAAACCTTCCCGCCCGCCCACTGCCCGGCCCACAGCAAACCTCCGGTCCGAATCCGCTGCAGTTTGGGCCGCTGTCCTCCGCCTCGATGGATCCCCGGGGACTGGGGACAGGTAGAGCTGCACCTTTAATACCAAAGAGCAACACGTTTAATCTTTTTAAGGCGTTCCTAAAGAGAAAACGCACTCAGATGCAATGCAATGGACGGCTTCTATGGTTTTTAAACCTCATACAGGGGGGTTTCGAGCAGGCCGGTGCCGAGTGTGCGTGTGTGGAGGCTGTGTTTTGTGAGTCCAGCTGTTCCAGCGGGCTTAGAGTGTGTGAGCGGTGTCTGTAATATCCTCTGGGCCGTTTGAAGTTTATCCCGGCCTCAGACCTGGCTCTCTGTCACTTCCAGGAATACAGTTGTGAGGGAGACGGAGGAGTAGCGTTGTCGGGCTCACCCTGACATGACCGAGCGCTCTCAGAAGAAAAAAAAACAGAGAAAAAAAACACCACACAGAGCGCTTTACAACATAGCTGAGTCATGTTTGTGAGAGGCTGCCAGACGGCCGTGCGTCACTGGGAGCCGTATCTGCAGAAAGGATGGCTTGTTATTTTGTAGGATTTGTTGATGATTTTGTGTTAAAGTGGACTTTTAAACAGTGTGCTGAGATGTCTGCGTGGGTTTCGGATCAGAGGTGAGCAGCTGCAGATTCTCCTCATATAAGCATGTACCTACAGTACGTTTTGCTCCTTATTCTGCTGGAGTGGTGGGTTCAGATAAACATCACCTCATATCAGCATCACCTGGCTGTATGAGCAAATTCTCACCAGGCAAGCTCCAGTCATTATGAAAACCAATAGAAACATCTTAAATTATCTTCATGGAAACATCCATAAAGCAGAGATCTCAAAGTCTGGTCCTCAAGAAGTGTTGCCCTGCTGGTTTTAGATGTTTTAGATGAAGAAAAATGAAAACTTTTCTCTGTCCTGTTGAGTGGGGCAGATATTCAAAGCCTAGAGGCTTTATCCCAAGCTGTACAGTGCAACACAAGGCTAACCCTTATTGTCGTTTCAAAGTGAAACAACATCCTGTCTTCAGGAAAACCGATATTTACTGGACCAGGAAGGTTTAGCACGAAGGGTATTGATGTTAAACTGGGAAAGGCTGCATTTGCTGGATGTATAAACATGCTAGCTAAAGCTTTTTAATCACAAACTGGATTGCTGGCAGATTAACACAGGCCTCACCGTGTCAGGGAGGGGAGATCGCTGCCTGCTGCTAAATGCCCGGTTACAAAGGGTCAGAAGGTCAGCAGTTCAAATCCCATTTAAGGTGCATTACTGACGTACGCCATCTGTCAGAGCAATCCTAATAAAGACTCTAATTGGGAAGGGATGACATGCAAGCTAACTGATCTGACACAGCCAAAGAGGATCTTTGAAGGTGGACATAAGGAGAGGGGGCAGCTGGGTTCATATCATGCACTTGCACATGAGGGGGGGGGGTATTCAGAGATTCAGGGTAGAGATTTAAGGTTCATTTTAGTTTTTTGTTTGGTCGAGGGTTGGTTGGCACCTACAGGCGTTGCATTTTATTGGTCTTTGTTTGTTTCTGCAAAGGCGTTTAATGGAGAAATCTGAGGTTTTATTACAGCTGGCACATCAATGGAAGTCCATACAACAAACATTTTTCTCAGTCATCTCAAGAAAAAAACGAGCCAAAACCCACCATATGCTAACAGAGTTAGCCAGGGCTTGATTTTTAGTGAGATTTCTCGCTGTTTTATCCTCCAGCATTTGGAAAAATGCTCAAAAACAAGTCATAAATAGGTACACAGTACTGGCAAGAGTTCTCTGAAGCTAATAATAAATACTCTCGAATGTAAAAGAGATCGCTCCTCCACAAAAAAAAACATGCAGACTATTAATGAGTTACATTTTTCTATTGTTTTTCATTATTTTTTCCAATTTCTGTTGATGGATTTGTTATTGGATGAGCAATAGGGCTGACATCTAGTGGCATAATTGCAAATTGCACCCAAATCAGGACATAAACATGTTGGAGGCCCTCTTCAGGGCCAGTGTTTGATTTGTCCCTTCTGGGCCACTATAGCATCCAATGGAGTCAAATGTTGATAGGATCAATTAAAAAGGCTGTATAGAGGGCAACAATAACACCCTAAGTTGTATTTTTAAAATTGTAATTAGGAATTTGGTTTTTTTTTTAATTCAATAAATCACTAAAAATGTTTGATGGTAAAAATGTAAGCAGCGAGCTTGGTGGTAGACTTAACAATTTCTTTATATTTGTCCAAAACCTCAACAAATCTGCATGTGAAACAATTACAAAGAACAAAGAGAATCCCCAAATTTCCCAAAAGCCAAAGCCAGATAGGTTTAAAGAGGCTTTTCAATCCCCAGCTGAGCCGTTTCTTTTGGAGCTGAGAGGCAGAATAAGTCAGGGGAAGGTGACTGTCCCCCTGATTGGCTGATTGGATCAGGTTTGGTCAGGTCGGGCCGCGTTTCTGCGGGGGGGGATTAATGTAGCATGGCTCTCTGTTTGCAGTGTTCGGCGCACTGCGGCCTGGGCCAGCAGATGCGGACGGTCATGTGCCTGTCCTACACCGGTCAGCCCTCCAACGAGTGCCCCGACTCCCTCCGGCCGGCCACCATGCAGCAGTGCGAGAGCAAGTGCGACGCCACGCCGGTCTCCAACGGCGACGGTAAGGTGGCCGGGGCCAACGGCCCTCTTTCCCCCTGCAGGTCAGCGGGTCAGGTCCCTCCTGAGGAACATCTGCACTGGGCTGATGGTGGACTGTAAACGGTCCATATCTCCATCCTCACGGCTCCGCTTTGACCCAAACACTCTGTGATGACACACACCTCCACGTCCTGCCAGATATGTTAATCTCTCCGCTGAGGTCAGCTCAGCCCCCCCCCCCCCCCACCCCCCAATACATGCGTCCACATGATGGATCGCTGGCCCGGTCTCATCGATCGGGCCCGAATGAAGAACGCGAGCAGCGTTTACAGGCCGGCTAATGGGATTAGCCCCGGGCTAATTGTTCCTTTGCGGACGGCGGTGAGGCAACGTCTCGTTTCATTTGGCTCCGCAGAGGCAGGGACCAAAGCCTAATAAGGGAAGACACTCCGATCGTGATAAGGCATTTAGAGAACTGCCTGTCTGGCATCCAGCGAGCAGTTTGAGTGTGTGTGTGTGTGTGTGTGCGTGTGTGTGTGCGTGCGTGCGTGCTCCGCGCAGGAATGGCAGCCGGCCCAGTTTGTGAGCGAGGCCAGGATCTGTCTCAGTCTTAGCCTCCGCGTCCAAGTATAGAGTTTTTATTCCGCGGAGGCCCAGGGGAGATGCTCCACATCCCCGAGTAGCAGGTTAACTCCAGTTTACGCGTCGTGCACGTTATCGTTGCGCACGGCGATAACGATCAGCTTTTTCCCTCAAAAACAAATGATAGTTCTTGGAAAACTCAGATCATTTAACAAGTTACCTTTAACCTGAAGGAATTTCCTGAAACATGAAGGACTCCACCGGCCGTGCGGGCGAAAAATACTGCAGAGTTTATTAGCAAGACCGGAGAAAAAAAAACCCAAAGTAATTATACAGGGAGAAAAACAGGGATCGGTTTCAATATGGCTCACAGTTTAATGTTGATATGAAACTTAAAATAGCACAACCGTCTATCTGATTTTTAAGCATATCCAAGTGTTTAGTGTTTGGTTTAATGATTTCATAATGAATATGCAGAAACTATGAAAGGGCCACAGCTGGGGAGGTGGATGCGGTACCGTGTGTGTGTGTGTGTGTGTGTGTGTGGAGATGAGCCGGTTTAACTTTTTCCTCCTCTTTCTGCAGAGTGCAAGGACGTGCACAAAGTGGCGTACTGCCCACTGGTTCTGAAGTTCAAGTTCTGCAGCCGGGCCTACTTCAGACAGATGTGCTGCAAGACCTGCCAGGGCCACTGAGCCCCGCACCGGGACGGGAGGGCCCCCCAGGGGGGAGGACGGGGGAGGGGGGGGGAGGGGTATGACGAGGAGAGGAAAGAAGGAGAAAAAGGAGGCTGGCAGAGAAAAAATGCATCCCGACTCTTCAGCAGTGGAAGGCCACAAAAGAAAGAGAGAGGGAGGGAGAACCCCAAACCACTGCTCAGCCCACAGCAGCTGACACAAACTTCTGTTTGAATTTTCACTTCCGTGAAGTGGAACTTGGAAGATTACTCGTTGGTGAAGTTATTTTTTTATTATTATAATAATAATAATAATGATTGTCGATGTCATTGTTAGTCTTCCTCCGTGTTTGTCGTGTTATGAATCCAAAGTGCTGGACACATCGCTCACACAGGATGCCCCCCCCCCCCCCCCCCCCCCCCCCTGCGGGGTGGGGGGGGGGGGGGGGGGGGGGCGGACCCCTGGACCCGGGAGGACTGTGATGGTGCTATTGGCAGACTGAAATTTGGCTTCGCTGCACTTTTTCGTGTAAATACTTTACCAATGTGCCGCTCGAATATGAGAGAGGACCCCCCCTCCACCCCCCCACCCCCCACCCTCATCAGTGTACTGTATATTTATTGTACAATTGCAACCCGAAAGAAGATATTGTCCGCTCGTGTTTTCAGTCAGATAGGAGCCTACTGTCGTGGAAGGGAATGTAATGCGATTAATGACTCTGTGCTGGAATGAAAAGATTGCATACTGTAACATACGTTAGACCTTTATATACTCCGAAAGTCTGTTTATGATATAGAATATTTATCCAGGACCAGAGAAAAATAGGTGGTTGCAGGAGAATCGTGATTTATTTCGGCCCAACAGGTGCCTTCGACTCCTCCCGCTCACATAAACGCTCCCTCCGTTTCACAAGTGAAGTATCATTTTGAAGGATCATTATCGATGAAGCAGCCCGTTCATTTGAATCACAGTACACCCCCCCCCCCCCCCCCCCCGGCCTCACCCCCTTCACACTGGAAGATCATCACCAGTCAGACGTCGAGTTTAAGGATTTAAGAAAAGGTTCAACATTTTGGGAACTGTTCTGCGCTTCTTCATGCTTAGAGTCAAACAAAAAGGCTAAGGGGGAAACTGCTAGCTTAGCTCTGATTAGCTTAGCCTAGCTTAGCCCAGACGCATCAGAGGAACAGCCAGAGCACACCAGCAGACTCCCAAAACGCAGACTGTGAAAAAAAAGTCGCTTTGTTCTGATTACGTCACAGATTAAAAGCATTTTATGGCCCTAAGAACAGGACGGGTTACAGAAGGGGCGTCGCGAGCTCCATGACTCCATTAGCTTTTGTTCTGTGTCTCCTCCATCTCATAACGCTGGGAGTGTCAGTCCAGATGTTCAACTTTTGTGTAATTTTTCAATGTTCAACTGAAAGTCTGTAAATAATCTCGAAACAGGATTTGTTCAGGCAATCCCTCTTAAAAAAAGAGGGTTACCTCCAGTTATAGAGACCTCCTCTTTAGCATTTTAGAACACTTTATATGACCTCCTGCCAGAGGA